TCTGGTGCCATATCCTCGTATTCATTTCCCTTTAGCTACTTATGCACCAGTTATTTCCGCCGAGAAAGCATACCATGAACAGTTAAGCGTGGCAGAGATTACTAATGCTTGTTTTGAACCCGCTAATCAAATGGTAAAATGTGATCCACGTCACGGAAAGTATATGGCTTGCTGTATGTTATATCGTGGAGATGTTGTACCTAAAGACGTCAATGCTGCTATCGCTACAATAAAAACCAAGAGAACAATTCAATTTGTAGACTGGTGTCCAACTGGATTCAAAGTTGGTATTAACTACCAACCACCAACTGTTGTACCAGGTGGTGACTTAGCCAAAGTACAACGAGCTGTCTGTATGTTAAGCAACACTACAGCTATTGCTGAAGCTTGGGCACGTCTAGATCACAAATTTGACCTAATGTATGCTAAAAGAGCATTTGTACATTGGTATGTCGGTGAAGGTATGGAAGAAGGTGAATTTTCGGAGGCTCGTGAAGATTTGGCAGCTTTAGAAAAAGATTATGAAGAAGTTGGTGTGGACAGTGTCGATGCCGAAGGTGAAAATGAAGAAGGTGAAGAATATTAGTTCTTTATTGAAAATGAATTCTCTGAACCCATAAGTTAAAAATATCTAAATAAATAAACAGTAGGTGATATTACACTACTTGTACTTTGCTCCTCAAAATGAGATTGTGTATAAAAATATCTAAAAACTCTTTAGTTATCGACCGATTGTGCAACAAAACGATTATTTAAATGAGCTCTATAAAGTGAAACTAACTACCAGATAAAAGTAATAATGGTTAAGCTAGTAAAGAATAATTTTGATAATGTGAAGATGCTTAATCCAGAAGGGAATACAGTCGTCCGTCTTAGTTTTTTTTTCTAGATAACACTAGCAATAATGTAACTTGTTTCAACCTAGCTTGACATTTGTCAGATAGATAGATTTTCGAATTCGTATAGATTTTAATCTACACGTTTACGGTGAGCACGATATATTTGCATCATAGAGATAAAATCCTATATTAAACATTTTCTACCTCAAGTAACTGCGAAACAAAAGACACTAACCAATCAAATATCTTAAGACAGTAAAAGAGAATATAGATCAATCAGATTGAAATAAGTCATATACACCTTCCGGTTACTAACCAGATAAAAACTAAAATGTAATTAGTCGCAGTTATCCAGTGACAATTTATTCGCTTAACTAAATTATGAAGTAACACTAATGTAATACCTTGTATAACAATGTAACATTCGCTCAATCAAAATACTAGTTCAAAAAATAAATTTATTTGGTTTTCATTAGTTAAATCTATTGTTGAGTTATTATAAGTAAGATAAATCGAGGTAATACATTTAGTTTAGTTGCGAAGATTTGTACGCAAGTTTCGGTTCAATCTTATCAATTCCATGATATTCTTTTAAAAACTACTTTATCGATGTTAATAACATCCAAATACAAATAAACGGAAATGTTGAACTCTAATTATTGTGTTAAGATTGTATCATATTATCTACCTTCCTTTGTCTAACTCTACTAGTAGAAATGTTAGTTTTATAATTGAATCACAATATCATCATTGATTTGAATATAAGACATAAAACTTTCCGTTTCTAAAACAAGTAATAGACTAGTTGATATTACATTAATTCTTATCAAATCAGTTTGATATGTTTTCAACAGATAACTATGATGCAACATTTTAACAAAAAACAAAATAAGAATCCGAAAAATTTTATCAAAAAGAATTTACTACCATAATGGTTTGATGCATTATTTATTCATTTAAAAGCAAAAAAATAAAATCCGAATTATTTAAGTAGCATAAAAAATAGCAGGATAAGAACTACACTGATATATGGATATAATCATAAGCGCTGTATAGAATAAATTAACTTATTCAGGAACGGGATTAATATTAATTACATGCTAAATATGATGAACCAATCATAGATTGTAGATAAACAAAATTCTCATTTTAAGCAAATGATGCGAGTAAATGTTACGAGTGTACAGTAATTATTTTTTAAAGAAGAAACAAAATACAAATGAGTGAAATCGATAAAAATATAAGAACATGATAATTAACTAATTATTATCTCGATTATTCTAGTGTAACCGATAAGACAACAATTGGAACTTTTATCAGATAGCTAAAGTGTTAATATGTAAATATGGATTACCAATAAATGTATCATTCCGAAATAGAGTTGAAAATCAGTTTCTAGAGGAAAAGTAAAATTAAATTAAGATGCTTAGCTCATAAACCATAAGATGTTGTATAGAAACAAATATTTAATCAGCTGTATAAAAGACTGTAGAATTTTCATAGTTGAATCTCCAACTGATCCGAGAGAAACCAACATTAGTGACTTGGAAGCACTGGACAGTTGTTTAGTCCGAATATGGGACCCTTTAGTTATGAGCATACACAACCCCCGTCCGGGAGTTCAGCGCTGGACACTAGTTCTTGTAAGACCATCGCCTAACCTCTTGACCAATGTTTAACTCTCGTATGTTGGTAAGTCTCTTTTTAACTAATGACTAACTTCCAGATTCCATTTCATGAGTTCCATTGGGAAGCTGTGGCTAATGAAGTTCAACCAACTGTAAGCAATTGATGAGGGTTATGCAATAGAGAAAAACGTTTTTGAAGCGAGACTTCTCCACTGCTGGATTTTGGCTTAGTGATGGCATTGAACTGAAGATCCTGAGTTCGGTCCTCAGATTCGGGATTGTGAGTGAACCCTGTTGAGGAGTCCCATGATAGGACTAAACAGCTGATCGATGCTCCCAGACTTCCAATCTTGTAAAAGCTAAGATTATTTCATATGTTAACTATGAAAATTAACTATGAAAACTATGAAAATTCTTCAAGCACTTACCATGTATACAGCATATAAATAAAGATCTATAATATTTAAATAAGTGGCACTTCATCAAGATACTGATAACGAAGATATCAGTAAGCGTGCGAACTACAGAAGCATCACACTGCATTCAATGCAAAACAAAATGTTCAACAGAGTGTTGTTGAACCAATTGAATAATTCAATGGACACCCAACTTCGAGATCGACAAGCTGGCTTTCATGAGGATCCATCATACACCGAAGAAATCACGACAGTGCGGATCGTTGTTGAACATTCAGTCCAATGAAACTCACTACAATACCTTAATTTTCATTGATCATGACTAAACAGTTAATATTGTGAATAGGAAAGCTTTATGTAATCGTCTTTAGAGCGCCTAGGAAAGTTGCCATCTCATATGGAATTCCTACGACAGATTACAGTACACAGTCGCGTGTGCTTAGCGACTCACAGATGGATTCCAAATGAAAAGCTGTATCGGGCAAGGATGTGGCCGGATATCATCATCAACAACTTACTATAAAAGAGAGCAAATCTTCTTGCAACTGAAGGGAAAATTAGCTAGAGAATTTGGAGATGAGTAGGACATACAATGCAGAAATCGTCAAACCGTAACATGGAATTCTGAAGGTAAGAGGGAAAGAGGATGACCAAAGAATAGATTAGATACAGGCATCTAAAGAACTAAGATGACTTAGAAACAATTAGAACGGAGATCGAGGGATAGGCTACATTGAAAATTCCTGGTTAGTGCCCTATGCCCCCACCAGGGTTAACAGGAATAAGGAAGTAAAATCAATTTGTAATATAAATTTGCTCATTCATATGAGCATTTACAGCGTCATTCTGATCAAGTTGTATTTGTTGTTTTTGGATGTACACTTCAAGTTCGTTGGACAATAAGACCTTTCATTCTATGGTATATTACATAATTCAATGTCACATGAAACAATTCAGCTTTTAAGCTACCATCGAATTTCGATAAGCATTAATTAATTAATTAATTGTTCTCAATATATATATACGGCAAATATTGGTTGTGACATAGAAAACCATCATTATATTTTAATTTACATTAATTAATTGGGATATATATAAAGAAACTATTCAATTTTACATTTGTCTCAATTTTAATAAATCAAATCTTAACAGCAATACTGAAAAGTTGGTTAATTTACTTATTGTATAATAACAGTTTAAAGATCCCCATAGATAATTCAAAAAATGAACAATATTTGAACAAACAATTGCTTCTTCAATTAACTTCATCATCAGGCTCTACAGTTATAAGTCCATAATTATGATGATATTTTACAAAGGCCAAAAATGAGGCATGTATTAATGAATTTGACAATGTTAAAATTTGGTGAACGATTGCATCTGCAATTACGACATATACATACTTCAAGATTGTGTTGTTTGTAAATTAGAAAGGTCATTTAATAAAGATCCAAAATGATTTGCAATAAAGAGTCCAGTCACAATCAGTAGAATAGTAATTTAGAAAAAATGAAAATGCAAAATAATTGTGTGAATAAAGTGCACAGTAGGAGAATTTCATTTTGTCAATTGAAATAATGATGATAAACAGTAATAGTAATAATAATAAGATTGGTGTGTAACTATAATATGCAATAAAAGGAGTAATATCAAGGTAATTACGATAAACGAATTGAGAATGTTGGATGTGAAGATTAAGGTAGAGGTGATCAAAAAAAGGATGGGGGCAGTGGTTTATAAAATTTAATTTACATATCCGGTGATCCAGTCATTGGCCAAGGTAAATATAGAGTCTGGAAATTCGTTTTCTGGAGTTGATCCAGATGGCTTCGACTATGTAAAGTAGTAGTCTAGCTCTTTGAGGTAGATTTTTCAGAGCTTGATATCAAAAAGGAGAAAGCTTCCTCTATTTTGATATGGTGTTCACTATCTACCAAGTGAGAAAGGGTGGTGCTGTTTATGGATTTGGTGACTCCTTTTCCCAACCATGCTGGTACATGTTGACGAATGCAAACGTTCACCAAATTTTAATATATATCATTCTCAAATTAATTAATACATGCCTCATTTTGGCCTTTGTAAAATATCACAATAATTATGGACTTATAACCGTACAGCCTGATGATGAAGTTATTGAAAACCATTGTTCGCTCAAATATTGTTCATTTTTGTAAAATAACAGTTTGAAAGTCACGTAAACATTTGAATTATTTTTTTATAAACATAACCATAGCTAGAAGATACTATGCGTTTCCTTTTATATGATATCAAAATGAACATTCATTTACAATTCTTCCTACTAAGCTAGAATATTTATTCAAACGAAAAAGTGATAATCTTGGAGTTTAAGAAATGTTAACTACTTTTTTCACCTCTTGAATCTCATTCCATTCTCTTTATTGTGTTGGCTCTTCAGAAGGATCCTGTAAGACCTGACGTTAATGAAGTTAATGAAACGGATCCTACTTAACTTCACTTATGTTCTGTCGATTTAACATGTTTCGAGCGACGATATACTAAAAGTCAATTTGCGAATGTTTCGGATAGGTATATTTCACACAATCATTTAATAGACAGAAGATCAGCCATTTTTACGAATGAGAGTGACAGAAATAGCAAAGTCAGTGAATAATGAGTAACTCGATATTTATGTAAATTGCAGATAATCATTTAGATTATAGATGATAGAAAAGCTAAGGCAAATACATAATAATGTTAGGATCATTATTATTTTAATAGTTACATTCACGAGTTGATGTGGGCTAGACCACCATTGCAGACCTGGAAGCCTTGGACGACAGTCTAGTCTTAGAATGAGACTCCTCAGCAGTGCGTATCTACGATCTGCATGTGGGACTCGTACCCAAGGTCACCGATAAAATCACATAGAAAGGTTAAAAACATCTGACTGTATTAGAATAACATGTTTTATAAACAGGATTTTCTACGAAAAGTAGGCTACATAGAGTTGTAATAAAAATTGCTGTTACCAATTTTTATATGGCATCTTAAAAAGGGTCTTAATATCGCTAACATCAACAATTGATACGGTCAATTATATCATCACCCAGCTACTTTGATTGTTTTGATCGTAATATAAACATGTTTTCTAAAATTATTTATAGATAACTAACTTTTAATTATGATATTTCTCTGTTTTTATCAATTCTTTTGACATCTTTCAGGCCTTTATTTATCATTGTTGTTGCTGAACTATAGTCTTCCTCCATAGATGTTTTAAGAGTAATTTGCTTATTTTTTGCACCATATTTGGCTAGAATTCCATTAACCGGTTGACTATACAACAGAGAGTTAGTTTGATCTAGATTAAACTTTGAATGTGGTGGTGCTGATAGGAATCTGGGCTTGAAATTTCTCAGATTTATTTTTTGATGAGTTCGACTATCATTTTCATTGTCTGATAATGTTGTGTTCAATGAATCTTCATGTTGATGTATATTGTAATTGTTGAATTTCGATAAATTATTCACCTTACTGTAACACATAAGTTAGACAAAAAATTTGAAAAGTGTAAAATGAACGATTGTATAAAAAATAGGAGCAAAATGTTTGATATTCATGATAAGGAATTATTATGACAGTTGGTATTTTCTTTATTCAATGAAACATGTTTGTAAGTTGGAAAAAAAGAAATATTAGTTCCAGAAAATGGTAAATAGTTAACTTACCCCATGCTCATTATCTCAAATCTCTACGTGATGTAATGCCTCTCACTAGTTTTAAATGCTTGTTTTACACCTAGCGACGTAGAACATCATAACATAGACTGAAGGATTGATTGACTCTATTATATGTACAAAAGATAAAATCATGTACTTACTAGTGAGTAACTGGGAATGGAACACCACAAGTTCTAGTGAGGAGCCATGACTGATAAAGTTCAACTATATTGTGAGTAAGACGGGTGCGATCCTTGACTATCTATTATGGTCCCACAATACTGTGAACTAACAATAGATGGAAATGTAGGTCACTGGTACCCAACACATTGATTGAAATACATGGCTCTTGCTGGGTGGTCTGAGAGACATAAGTTTAATTCCTAGTGGGTTCGAAGGCAAAAACTGCTGGAAAACCTCATAATGGAAAAAAACTGGCCTAGTTTTCATAAGTTACCTAACCAAAATTTTAATACATGTAATGAAAATTCAAAATGAGCAAGCTGAACAAAATTTCAGCCTTAATAAGAAATCAATGAATGAATCAGTTTGTTATTTTAATACATAATGTGACTCAAACATCACCATCAATCACATTGTTTTGCATCTAGTTCAGGTAGACACAAAAATATACGTTTTCTGCTGCTATAACCAAGGTTTCTGTAATTAAACTAATTACAGTTCATTATATATTCTGTTGAATTGAAATAGTTGTTAGAATTCAACTAGCAAATGACAGTTTCAAATGATCGAAAATGTAAAGGTCATAGACTTAATTTCAATAAAATATTTGAAGTGAAAGTGTAATGATATATAGAAATATTTGTCTCGATTTGATTTTAGTTCAAAATGAAACAATTGTATATGAAGTTATATTTTTGTCATTTCATTGTAACCGATTCGAAATACGGGAAGAATAATAAGGGTTCGGAATTTTTAGCAATGAATGGTTACTCGATCAGAAAGAAGAAATTAGTCAAAAACAAGAATATTTAGAGATTGACAGAGTAGTGTAGGTCGCGATTTCGAGTGATGTATGAATTTGTTATAAAACAGTGAATGGATCACAATCATGTTTTGGATAAAGCTAAGGGAGATGCGAAAAACGCAATCAATATGTTAAAATATCGAGCAGCTTGCACATCAGACGCAGCACATCAAATCATAGCTACATTGAAATCTCGTTTGTCACATCTAGATCAAAATTCCAGCTGTTAATCAAATAAAACTTCATTCGGCACGTACAAAATGACAATCACACGCCTTGACTAAATCCAAGTTCCTTGAAAACGTTTAATAAACTCTTGATCTGTTGGGAATCCAACATATACAAATATCCCTTTTATTAGATTACATCTAAACTGTTCGAAATAGAAGTACGAGATAACTTGACTAGAGTAATAACAATAAGAAACTGTTACCAAATTCAAAAAATAACAGATTTGTTGAGATTAGACTATTCACCATACATTTAGAAAAGTACTTTTTTGATTGGTAGTAAGATAAAGGGTCAGAAGGTAATTCAAACCTATTTCACACCATTAAAAATGTTATTTCCCGTTTTAATGATTACTCCTGTTAATATGCACTCTTTGATTGTCGTCTTTGTTAGTGTGAGCCCTTTAATCCGCGTCCTTTTGAATGAGTACCGATTCAATGACATCAATATATACATGGTTTTTATTACCTCAATGCAGATGCTACGATGAATTGTATCAGTTATTGGACAGAGTAGCAAATATTATTCGAAAATATTTGCCACTCAACTCGACTTATTCTAATCAATCTTGAAAACTATTAGTCAAAAATGTACGTTGAAGTGGCCATAAACAACAGTATATCCTTGATATTTTCCCAAATATGGTTATTACTGTAGAAAACAATTCACAACTCTACTGAATTAAACGTTTTTCTGAGAGATCTAAGTATTTGAAAGCACCATCACAATTCCAGATGAACTTTTTTCGTGAATATTAGATTCGAGGAGGATGTGGCTGTAGAGATACTAAAGAACAGATTATTCAGATCTCTCAGAAACGTGTTTAATTCACTTTTGAATAAATTAGTTTCAACCTTTATGACAGCCTTAAAGCTAAAATGTTTGTGAACCACAGATTAGATAATAGTTTCATACATAGTCGATTCAAAAAGATAGAACTGCATTAAGCATAACAATATGTGGTATTCAATAATGAAATTTATTCACTTCAACTCATGTGAGTTACATGTCTTGCTCATAAAACTTTTCAGGAAGAAAATTAGCCATTCGGAAACATGAGATATTTTGATCGTTATGTATAATATAGATGCAGTGATTCACTGCTTCGCAGCCAATTATATTACCAACCATCTACTAAACTGCACCAATTTGTCATTTTATCTAGGTTTTATCTCTGAGATATCTATCAGTCAGTAAGCATACTTGTCTATCCTACAAATACACGGATGTAGGTCATATATACCATCTTAAAATACTTCAACACCAAATCAACTCCTAGTTTAATCCTAACCCAAACAACTAAATTGTAACAGCTCTGACATCAGCACTAGTTGTTACTGATCAGAATTCTATAAGAATTACCAGTTCTCACAAGATTCCAGACATACCTTACGGATTAATATCTAAATCCATGGATTTGCACCAATCAGCTCTAACAATATACACTGTTGGGATTACAATGTCACAGTAAGAACGGCTATTCGAAGCTAAATTAGCCTTCCGTTTCAGCAAACTTAATATCAATATTTACAGTCCATGAGGCTGTATTTTTCCAACCATTTGGTCGCTAAACATCATAAATATTCCTGAATTGAAGTGCTTTCAGAGAGATTAGTTACATTTGGACGTGGTTTTTACCAAGGATTGATATCAGTGATGTAGCAAATTTATTAAGCTTGGAAACAATGACCAACGGATTTTCAGTCATTAGTCGAAATAGTTTAACTCTTATTATAAGACTTAAAAGTTCATTTTTATTCTGGACAACATCATCAGGAACTATAATGGAAGCCAATGTAGTTGTACAGAACAACAATAAGAGGATTACGTTTGAACCATATTGCCCCTCTGGAATACAACACTGACAGCAGAATCCTAATAAGTTACATACCTTCATTTCATTGTTATTCGTGTGGGTACATCTTCATTTCTGTCAGCTAATCACCACTTAATCAGAAGTTAGAATGACATAAATTTGTTGGCAGTTTAACCGAAGTGACCAATGGTCTTCCTAAAAGTACTGCTGCAATCTCCAAAACGAAGAAATTTCAAAAGGCAGAACTACCAAGCAATCAAAATTTTACAGCAGGGAGATTCCTGCTTGTTAACAAACACGCAATTAAGTCTGTTAATGAAGGTCACACAAGAACAGCCAATCAGTGTTCACATCACTTTCTTATGACAAGAACAGGTTGAATTATTATTTAACTTACTTTGCATTATCTTCCATAGTTCTACTATCACCATGTAGATCAACAGTATCATTATCAAATGAAAGGACACCTAAATCTGTACGATTCCCATCAAAAGAATTTTCTTTTTCTTGAGTGTTAAATGAATCATATCTTTGCTTAAGATTTTTTAAAAGAGATAATCCATGAGATTTTTGTAGATTGATTGAATTTAATCTGGAATGTTCCGGTCGTTGTTGTTCCTGTTGTTGATCCCACTGGCGTTGTTGATTTGGATGAGATTCTGGTGATAGTAACTGCTCTATATCACTTAAAATATGTACTATACTTGATTTTACGTAATCAGGTTTATTGTAAGTATATTCATTGAGATTCTGTTGAGATATATTATTCAAATCAATTGTCTCATTGAATGCTCTTGTTCTTTTAGGTAAATGATTTAATAAATTTTCATTTGGTAAACTAAATTTCACTTTAGATAATCGACTTTTATTAGCGAATATTGGAGAATAACAATCGTCTTGTGAACTATTTCTGTGAATTGTAGACGGTTTTTCAAACGTTAATGATTTGTTTAAATGCTCAATACCGGCAAGTATACGATACTTATTAACTTGATTTTCTAAAGCTTCAATTCTATCAGTTAATTGGCATACCTTCATAACACCCTGATTTTTTACCTACGAAAAATATACAATAAACAAGATACTATCATTACATTACAGAACAAATTTTTTAACGCTGAAAATAATTCAGATTACAAACTGATATTAACTGGACAATTAACAGAAACCAGACAGCACTGGGTATATGTTTCACTGTAGTATGAAAATCCTTAGCATTAAGCACACACGAAAGCCATTAATGATACAACCTAGGACATTTATGTCCGATGGCGATGTCTCTGTCTTCAGATTTATGAATCCGTATCCAGTGATTCGCATTGCCAACTTCACTCGTTTCTCAGTATTACGCAACCACAATCGATTACCACTGAATCCTGAAGTTATAACTTCTTACTAGTCACCTGTGGTCACAAGGTTAAGAATTATTGTGTTTGTCACTGAGTAGCTAATGTCTTGTAGTTGAATCTCTGACCAGGCTGTAAGTGTACACTGATAAGGATTCTCAATATAGAACAAAATTATTGTCCAATACTCCTTGAATTTCAGTGTTTATTTAGTAACAATGTAATCCATAGTTTTAGAATCTAATAATCACTATAAATTTTACATCCCAAGTGATAATACTTTATCATTATTAGACTTACTAGACCACCACTGAAAACCTGAAAGCACTGGACGGCTGTTTCGCCATATTGTGCGACTCCTCAGTAGTGCACATCCACGATCCCGCTCGCGGGATTTGAACTCAGGGCCTTCAGTCTCGCACGTCAACGTTTAACCTCTAGACCACTGAATCGGCATCTAATGATGTTAATGTCTAACCCCAACCTCGATTTTGTTGATTGGTTGAGGTTAGATATTACTACTTTGTTGATTCATGTAAATTCACTTTGTTCATTTAATTCATGACAATTATTAGAATAACAGTATTTAACCTGTTTAATGTTAATTAAATGATGAGTTTTGTTTAATAAGTCTATTACAATGTTTAATTTATTGAATTTTTCAAATCTCATATCACAAATGTAGAGTTTTCTCTGTGTAATCGAAATTGGCGTGTACACAGAACTGAAGGTTACATACGAGAAACCATAACGGAAATATAAACTGATTATTTTTATTAAAAATGAGAATTGAAAAAATCGAAATTTAAACAACTACACAAGTGGCAATTACTATTACTCAGTAATTTAGTAAACCCTAGTTATGGTAGTCTAGGTGATAATATCTATAATCGAATATTAAAAGTATATCTATATTTTCATAAACATTTATTTAATACAGAGATGGATAGTGGCTAGCAGTGGAATCCAGGACGCGCGTTTCGTCCTATTTGGGACTCGTCAGCTGGATGTACCTGCATCTCAGAGTTGATGTTCACTCTGGGACTCGAACCCAGTACCCTCGCTTCAAGGGCAATACGAGGCAATACGCACAGTATGCACATATGCCAATTAGAGACTGACCAGTTGCAGTCCTAACAAAATCGATGGGAAGACTCAAACAAACAATACCAAGTGAATTTATTTAATACATTGAGACTTTTAGGATAACATTAGACATCGTCGTAGAAAGAAAGAAAATACCATTTTCACTTGATTTACTGACAATTTTACGATTAATTGATATTTGGAATTACCTATCTAATTGTTGACCATTTTGTTCTACCTATATTTAATTAAAAATATTATTCTGAAAATGTTTCATTTATGATTGAACGAACTAGATCAATGAACAGTTTATCATCAATAGAATAACTTTAGTACTTTGATGAAACTGATATTGGTAAGTTGTGATTATTGTTATATTGGTCAACATTTAATACGGACTAATATTATACAATTGATACAATTGAGTTTGTTTACATCTAATCTGGCTAAGCCCTTTTGTTAACTTATTTAATGGACAGTCATTCATACAATAACAACCCATCTATACCATTTTACTTTTACTATATACGCTTGAACATTGCTTACTGCCTACGCATATATTCATTCCGCTAGCATTATTATTAATCGCTTAATTGATCCGATGACTAATGCTTTTCCACTTATATATATATAGTTCAATAATAAACGCAATCAGCCCTTCGTATTCGGCTTCTGATTTATACATCGTTAGGACGTTATCGAGTAACGGTTATCAAGACGAACAATATACGAAGTTAGGGACAATATCGAATTTCGACCACCATAATATCATCGAACTGAGGTCCAATATAACTATGGGCCAAATAACTTGAAATGAGCTTTTATTTTGTACAATATGTACAATGCCCGTCCTTGACTGTATTATGATTGAATGTAAATAATGTTAATGGAATAATTATCCCGCTTAACTTCGTATACTTTCAAAGACATATTCGCGGGATTCAATAGAGGAATAATATCAGATTTTTGAATACAAATATTCAATTAATTCTTCAGTTCAGATAGATGATATATAAGGAATTAAAACTAAAGAAGACAAAATACGGCTACTTGGAATGCCTAAGAATAGACTGTCATTATATGTAAATAAAGATTACGTGTGAAATGCTCCAAGTAAGATTATGGAAAATCGGTTAGTCAAGTAAGTAAACAGACATGCATAGGTAAAGCACACATAAAATAATCAACAGTGAATAAGAGCATATCTCTAGAAATAGACGCAGAGTAGTTAGACAAACGAGGATAAGCACTTGTTCATCTGATATGGTCAAATAACGCTAGAATTAAACACCCAAATGTCAGAAAAATATCCTACAACAGTTTGCTTTAGCGTATTGCATCAATTCACGATACTACTGAGATTTGATTGATTGTTTGTAATTCAAGAGCATATCTCTAGAAATAGACGCAGAGTAGTTAGACAAACGAGGATAAGCACTTGTTCATCTGATATGGTCAAATAACGCTAGAATTAAACACCCAAATGTCAGAAAAATATCCTACAACAGTTTGCTTTAGCGTATTACATCAATTCACGATACTACTGAGATTTGATTGATTGTTTGTAATTCAAGTAAATATATGGAGTCGTCAAACTATGTTGTATGATTACAACTAAGCCGCTGATTTAGGTTGCGTATAGAATGAAGGCCTTTAATATCGTCAAATCTTGTTGTGATCGCATTACATTCAAACAACCAAGTCGAAATAACTTGGTAAAGTATGAAGGAACTAATAAATGAAGAATAGATGCCGTTATGATAGATATGTATTCTAGTCTTATGAATCCATTCTCTGCCACTGAGTGACCTGAGTATGTAGTAGAATGTATGGATTAATTTCAGTTATATAGTTGAAATCATTAGTCAAGTGAAGCTAGACGACCATGGAAAACCTGCAAGCACTGGACGGCCGTTTCGTCTTATCGTGGGACTCCTCAACAGTGAGAATCCAAGATCCCGCCTCGCGAGGTTCGCAACCAGGTCCTATCAGTCTCGCGCACGAGAACTTAACGTCTAGACCACTCAGCTAGCATCCAACGGTAAAGTTAGACATTAACACTACTGGATCCCGGCTCAGTGGTCTAGAGGTTAAGTGCTCGTGCGCGAGATTGATAGGTCCTAGGTTAGAATCTCACGAGGCGAGATCGTGGATGCGCACTGCTTAAGAGTCCTACAATAGGACGAAACGGCCGACCAGTACTTCCAGGGTTTTCATGGTCGTCTAGCTTCAATTGACTCATGATTTCAACTATAAAATTAATAAATGAAAGCCTACATTTATTTCCTAAATACCATAATGGTAATTTTGATTATATTGAAACATTCTTATTGAATTTCGCATGTACTGTCGTTAACCAGATTAGTGTTCATTAGATGATATAGGCATTTGATAAACCATAAAAAACTATTCCTAATATCTAGGCTATGATCATATTATTGTCATTAATCTCAAATGATTATATAGCTCAATCACTATGCCTTGATTATAATTGATCAGTGTTATTTCAGTCGATCTTTTCCATAGAAATAATATTGTTGTACCGGTGATTTAATCTTAGTACATAGTTTCCGATTTATAATACAGTAAATTAATGTTATTGATAACTTAAACTTATTTCTGCCAATTTTCAGTAAACACTAGAAGGAGGAGAACTTTTTCATCAATAGGGACTAAAATGTATGCAGGAAAGGAGTTATCAGATGAAACAGATAAACTACTTCACTGATAATGAGATTAACGAAAAATCGTTTGTTGCCTTTTTTGACTAGTTAAAACAAGAAATTAAATCAAACTGTGTATCGCCCCAAAAAGGGTCTTTACTCGGCCTCTTAACATTTCAGATTGTCCTGAACAGCGCCGCACATGGGACAGTGGAATTCATGGAATTGGGGTTGTAGGTTCCAGCCACAAAACAAATGAAAAATTGCATTGCAGCGACAAAAAGTCAAAGTGTTTTCATCAGTAGTTTCACTTGACGACTGAACAAGATTGCATATGTCACACAATCGGTTGTCGTAGGCATCTTCGTCAGTGTTGTTGTCTCGGTCAGTGAATTATGCATTTGTGGAAACAATTTCATCTTCGACATTACTTAACGTGGTATCCAAATCCACGTTTGTTTAATAGTTGGAACTTCTTGTCTGTTGAATTAACGGAATTGGAGGCTTCCGTCTGAAACTTAGAGTTAAAGACGACACTACATTGTTCTTCAGACATACGTCTTACTACGGAATACAATGCCTTTTGTTCCTTGGCTGTCCTACTTGAACAGGGAAGTAATTGTCAATAGCTATGCTAGTGAAGTAACTGTCTGACAGTAACCATCTGTCACTAATTACTTCAGTGTTCACTTCTGCCTCAGTAAGTGTACAGTAGGCCAACACATGACGGCATGGCAATTCGTTTTCAATAGAAAAACTACATAAACAATCAATGGGATTTCGGGTTACCGTGTAAGTGCCAGTAGCGTCAACAGCCATGAACAAGTCCACTGACGTTATGACTTCTGTCACAGCAATGCACATGTGACGCTTCAATAGTTGACAGGCAACAGGTGTAAGGTTTTTTGAAGATGACGTATTTGCGACTCCCGACAGATATTTGTTTTGTTATGACAATAAA